TTGTTTATTTTGTTTTCTAAATTTTAGAATCATTATAACATGTAGCCTGGAAGAAAGGGAGAAAATATGCTAGTGCCTCTTTTTTTCGAAAGAAATAAAATACGAATTATCCGTCATAGACTCGTCATAGGGAAAAAACTTAAAAGCCTTAATCATGGCTGCGAAACAGTTGTCAGCGAAATGAAGTTTTTTTCCTCAGTTTCCTGTTCCCTAGTCACAAATACTACGAGTACTATAGTTTCACAGAATATTGAAGGAAGTTGAAAAAAACCAGTAATTCTTTCCGGGAAGTCAATAAGGAAATATTTCGTGCATGAAAGATTGCATGGCTGACCTCACAGGCTCTTCAGCGATGCAGCTTAACTCAAACAAACAAAATTTCAAATTGATTAACTGACTGTACAAAGGAATTGACCTTTGTCACCCTGAAGTAGGACCTGGTCTTCCCACGTATCATTAAAGGCACTATTATAACCATATATGTACCGGCCCTACTGAGATGAAAGCAAAATTCGCATTTGCGAAAACTCTCACAGCTGTTAGTATAAGAAATGTTTGAGGTTTACTGACGAGAAGTAATGGGTTTATATTTATGGGGTTAAGAGGGACGCCTTTCGTTTCGTAAACGTTCTGACAGAATTCAACTCAATATAGCCCCTTTGCACGACCCTGTCACAAGGTAGAAAATCAGCCATGCTGGAACACATGTTACAAAGTGGGAAAACCATACATAAGAAGGACCTGAACCATATTAGACATTTCACGATTTTATATAAGGTAACAATGGTTTACCTGCGGTTAGTTGCACTCACGTTTGCTTGCGGTCAGTTCCACCCCGGTAAGCTTGCGGTGGCCACCCAGGTTTGCTTGCGGTTTTTTTCCATTTACGTTTGCTTGCCGTTATTTCCATCCCGGTAGCTCCATTCAGGCTTGCCTGCGGTTATTTCCACTCCGTCTAGCTTACGGTTAGTTCCACTCGGGTTTACTTGTGGTAAAGTTCCATTTTGCGGCTGGGGCTTGGGCGACAGTGTATTTTGCTTCCAGTATGTATAGTACGTGACTACCATTTTCCGCAAGTGATTGTTTCTTTATTTATTTCAAACAAACAAAAAACTAAGTGTGGAATGATATTTCTGAAGACATGGTTGACGTTTTCGCTTCCTGAAGGTAGCGAGTCCCCCAAAGGCTGAAAGTAGCGGCGCTTTTTTGTACTAAGTAATTGCGTACCTACAATCTTGGTCAGAATAAAATATGAAATAAAACCACTCCTCCCCCGAGTCAATGACGAAGTGGCACTAAACCCAAAACGTGCCATTTTTTTTCATCCTTGGAATTGGGGGAGGGGTATTCTT